TATAACAATAAGCGGTGCATCAGTGAGTTATTGACATTATGAAAGGCTTCAAAAACCTGTAGGTGGTGTGCCAGTGTGGGGGGCAATGGTCCAGTTTCCAGACTGAGGGTTGAACTCAAGTAAATGGTGATTGAAACCATTTTCAGGAGAGTAACCGCCAATCAACAGCACAGAGCAGTCTCGCCGTACAGTTAAAGTGTGACCTGCCACTGGAGGAAGCACTGTGCTCTGTCAGCAGAACAAAATTAATTCGTTAAAGAAAAAAAAAAGATTTTTCACATATTCTTTATTTCCATATCAAGTCAGATACCAACCTTGTGCTCTCTCCAGACTAAACTGCTGAGATTGAGAGTCCAGGTATCCATGGAAACGCCATCTTGTGTGACCCCGCCTACTACCAACATAAAGTTATGATTGGCTCCAGCGCCAGACTCATGACTCAGCATTGCAGAGGCGTGATGGTAGCGAGGGTTTGGCATCGACCCTTCTTCCACAGAGCTTGTCAACATTTGTGTCCAACGACGTTCCAACACAGAATATCTAAACCAACCAGAAGGAATTATTACACACATACAGAGGCAACACTGCACTATGTGACTGTGAGATTACCTAACCAACTTGTTGCTGGATGCCTACGCCAAGATATATGCAACAGGGTTATGTAAGTTTTATTGTTCCTATGCTACAGTCTCAGAATATTATTATTATGCCAATAAAGGGTTGTCTAGAAATGTGACGATTATAGTTCAAAGATGGCGGTGGTTAGATGTGCTCGCAGAAGTCAGTTCAACAGGCGGCTCTGTGAGTTGATCTCGTTGTGGTCTCGGGTACGGCTCTCCGTAGAATGCAGCTGTTAATTGGATATCATTGCACTAGTTAATCGTTGAGGAATGGTTGTCTGTCATGGTGTGGGTGGCACCAGTACCCCTTGCCCTGACAGCTGGATAGCACGGGACCCGAAAAGATAGGCGATGAGATGATGGATGTTAACTATTGGAACAGTTCACTTTGTTGAAAGTCATTTTTGGTATGAATGTACAAAGTTGATTGAAATCAATTAGAGTGACTGTAGTTTCAATCAGCAAGCTGTATGTGTTAAATGTTTATACAAAGCAATTCCTTCAAGGAGTTAAACACATGACACTTTCACAGTAATAAGACAGAAGGTTTTCAGTAGTTTTCACAAATGGATGGGCTTGTTGCCTGATTGGCATTTTTCTACTCTGAGCACTCCAAATGTATTTCTACTACCATACCCATTCACCTATACAAACACACATGCATTTGAGTGCATATAACTTAGCATTCATACACATTCACTCTGATAGATTCATCAAGTGCAACTTGGGCTTCAGTATTTTACCCAAAGATACTTTGACATGAAGACTAGAGTAGCCAGGTATCAAACCTCTCACCTTCTAATAGACAACACGTACTTTAGCTCCTGAGTCACATGTGCCCCAACCTGAAACATGAATACTACTTGAAAATTGATTCTTACAAGCTCTTTGTCTAAGCATTTATAGACTGTTGTTGCACTTTCTTACCTATAGACATTTCCCAGAATTCCTTCTGTCAGAGAAAGCCCTCCATACATCCAGAGGTTGCCCTGTGGTCCAGACACCAGAGAGTGTCCCATCCTGTGGAGGAACCTGTGGGCCTGGTTCTGTTGGGGGGAAAGCACAATGTTTATTTGTGTGTGCTGCGTTGTGTCAGCCATGCACACTTCAGTATTGTTCTCGTTCGTTTTTCTTTGGTCCTTACCACAGTCATCTGTGTGTCCAGTAAGGTTTCCCACACCAAGCTGTTGAAGTCTCGAGGAATAGAGCAGTCTGACCCAACCCAGCTCTCTGAGCACACGCACACTCCCAGAGACTAAGACAAACAGATTGGTTAATGTCTGTTATTTGATAATTTTTTTAAACTGTTCTACAAAAAAACCAAAACCAACAAACAAACAAACAAAAGAAAGTTCAACAAAAAAACGAAAAACATCCAAAATTATCAAGTACACAACTAGAAATATGTTTTTATGAGCGTTACAAAGGCACTAAATAAAAAATGTCACAGTATATTTAATTAAGTTTTACTTTTGACAAAAGAGACACTTGGAAATTTAAGAAAAGCAAACTTAAAAAAAAAAAAGTTCACAGCTCTTACTATATTACAAGTTCCTCTTCCTTCTGCTATTCCACAATCCTGTGGGCACACTAGCCGGTCACAGTGTGGTCCCCCATATCCCTGAGGGCACTGGCAGAGCCCACCCTGGCACTGGGCTCCACCTGGACATACAGATCCGTCTTCATCCTCATCAGAGCTCTGCTGACACCGTCGTACCCAGAAAGATGCATTGAAGCCTTGAGGTCTGTCTGAAGTGACGTTGGCTTCAAAGTAGACTGAGATCACACCTGGAGGTAGAAGAGACGCTTATACGATGCTGAGTGATTGTGTATATGTAAACTGGTTTTGCAGTCTAAACTGTGTATTTATTAATCAATGAGTTAAGATAAACCTGAGGTGGCCTCCACTGTGATAGGCTGAGTCCTCGTGGTGCCACAAAATGCTCCAATTAGATTGTGATCAGAATGTACGACTCCGTTACCCAGAAAACGAGGCAGGCCATCGAACACATAGACATACGAACTCTGAAAAATAAAGCATCCTGAATGTCATGAACACAGTTTCAGGTACAGTGAGCTGTTAAGTAATTTGTGTTTATTTGAACTCACTTTACAATGGGTATGAGAGTCTGGGTGTAGTGTGAGAGCTACTGGGGGACAAAACTGTCTGGGCAGACAGGGTGCCAAGTTTTCAGTCACAGAGAGGACCCACAGGCAATGAGAAAGTCCACCTTTCCCCTCTGTGCCACTCCGCCACCCCAAAGAAGAGGACAGGGGAATGGTGGTGGAGGAAGTGGAGGACAGCAGGACAGAGCGGCCTTGGCACTGGCGGTAACATGTTCCATTGTTCCTAGATGGTACAGGATAGCATAGACAAGTCACGATCACAGAATACACTGAAAATCATTCAAGGAAATTATTCCTACTCAGCAAAATGGTGAAGATCTTTACCTGGGATCTCCATAGTAGCCAGGCAGACAGGACTCGCAGTGTGGTCCCTGAGTGTTGTGGGTGCAGTAACACTGGCCTGTCTGGTTGTGACAGTATCCCTGGAGAGTCGCCGTGTCCGTTACACTCACAGGGAACACAGCCGCTGCCACCAGCCAGGGCTGAGCCAAAGCTACCTGGACGGCAGTGCTCACAGTGAGGCCCTGTAGTCCAGTCTGAAAGTGAAGCAAGTGAATGTTAACCAATAAACAACACGACAGCCTTTATCTATCAAACACCAAAATGCCTCCCACAGTTTCAGTTTTATGAATAGTGACTGAAATCAAATCACTATAATCCCTTTATCAAAATCTGACCTTGGCATTCATCACAGATCCCTGGAGCAGTAATACAGGTGGAGTGGAAGTTGCAGCCACAGTCAACATCACATTCTACGCCACTCAGAACCAGAGTAGCGGGATCAGATGTCCAGCCCAGGGCGCATTCACACTCAAACCGTGGGCTGCCGCTACACTGGCCCTCACGACACTCATTGTAACAGCTGTGGGACGAAGGAAGATAACTCAATGAGCAAGACGAATAAAAAGATTTTATTAAGAGATTTAAAGAAGGAATTCGTGGATTACTGTATTCTAATGCACTTACGTTTGGTTGCAGTGCAGTGTGCCATCCCCTGTGAATCCTCTCTCACAATGGCACTCATATGAAGTGGGAGTGTTGATGCAGGTAGCAGAGGGGTGACAGTTGTGGAGGCCCAGCCTGCATTCCTCTACATCAGGACATGTGGGATAGGCCCAGATTGCATCTTGCTCTTCATCACTCAAATGCTCCAACTCCATCTCCATTTCTAGGGGGCGAGGTGGGGCTGAAGTTTGGGGTTCAGGGCTAGAGAAGCAAGAAAGACAAATGTAAACTTGGACTGATATACTACACACACATCTGGCTATCAGTTTGTTCAGGATATATGTACAAGAAACATGATGAGAGATATCTCACTTTGCAGCCCGAGCTTCAGCCACAGCCACACTACAGTTATACACTGATGGATCATCCATTCCTGCCCAGTCTCCCCTCAAGCATCTGAAAAGAAGGGCAGAAAATACGAATTATACACAGAAATCACAATGACTGCTAACTTATCAGCAACCTGATACTATAAAGATTGCATTTGCCTTATATGCAATTCTGGGAATCTGTTATACTTTTTTTGTGTTGTTATGGGTTTGCTGTACTTACTTTCCAATTGTGGGATTATTGTAGTCACCACACCAGCCACACTGAAAAGTCTCAGGCACTCTGTACATGTGTTTAAAGCTGAACACTGCTTACACTGGGGAACTGAGTGAACACTGACAAGCAAAAAAATAATATTTTATTATTGATTGCCATTAAAGGGTCAATTCAACTGTCTGGCAAAATCTAAATGTGTTGTTTCTTGTGTTTTTGTTCATCTAATGCAAGTATGTTACTGCATGTGAAAGCATTTGCAAAGTTAAGAAAAAAAATTCTCTCTTCAGGGCTGACGCTTCAGTACCTTCCACTTTTAATCAAATACTGGCCACTGCTTTTGATACCAAATCCAAAATCCTTGTTTTAAATTGAGTTTACATGAATACAGCCTCTCCGTGAATTGCTACCTTATCGTGGTGGAGGGGTTTGTGTGTCCCAGGGATCCCAGGGGCTATGTTGTCTGGGGGCTTTTGCCCCCTGGTAGGGTCTCCCATGGCAAATTGGTCCTGGGTGAGGGACCAGACAAAGAGCGATTCAGAAGACCCTTATGAAGAGAACATCGAGGGAACAGTTTACCCTAGGGTTACCGGGGCCCCGCCCTGGAGCCAGGCCCGGGGAGGGTGCCCGAGGGCGAGCGTCTGGGCCTTAGTCCATGGGGCCCGGCCGGGCACAGCCCGAAGAGGAGACATGGGCCCATCCTCCCGCAGGCGCCATAGGGGTCGGGTGCATTGTGTGCCGGGTGGCGGCCAGGAGCGGAGGCCCTGGCGGACTGACCCCGGCTACCAAGACTGGCAATAGGGACATGGAATGTCACCTCTCTGGTGGGGAAGGAGCCTGAGTTAGTGCGTGAGGTTGAGAGGTACCGGCTAGATATAGTCGGGCTCACCTCTTGGGCTCTGGAACCAGTCTCCTGGAGATGGGCTGGACTCTGTCTCAGTCTGGAGTTGCCCCTGGTGAGACGCGGCGGGGTGCTGGAAGGTGCTCCACCTGGAGACTCTGTTGTCCTGCTGGGAGACTTCAATGCTCACGTGGGTAACGACAGCGAGACCTGGAGGGGCGTGATTGGGAGGAACGGCCTCCCTGATCTGAACCTGAGCGGTGCTTTGTTATTGGACTTCTGTGCTAATCACAGTTTGGCCATAACGAACACCTTGTTCGAACATAAGAGTGTCCATAAGTGCACGTGGCACCAGGACGCTCTAGGCCGTAGGTCGATGATCGATTTTGTAATCGTATCACCAGACCTGCGACCATATGTTCTGGACACTCGGGTAAAGAGAGGGGCTGAGCTGTCAACTGATCACCACCTGGTGGTGAGTTGGATCAGGTGGCGGGGGAGGACGCTGGACAGACCTGGTGCACCTAAACGCGTAGTGAGGGTGTGCTGGGAACGTCTAGCAGAGTCTAACAGAGTTCGGAGAGGCCATGGAAAAAGACTTTCGGACTGCCTCGAAGAGATTCTGGCAAACCGTCAGGCGTCTCAGGAGGGGAAAGCGGTGCTCTACCTGCGCTGTGTATAGTGCTGGCGGAGCGCTGCTGACATCGACTGAGAAAATTGTCAGGCGGTGGAAGGAATACTTCGAGGACCTCAGATCACGGCCTCCCAGCGAGATCTTCAACGCACACCAGGTCCGACGGAACAAGAAGGGCACGGATTCCAATCAGCCAGGTGGCTGAAGGGGCGAGAGGCCTAGGGGACATGAGTCCCGCTTTCCAGGCACCCCCGCGGGTCTCACCAGGATGGACCATGTTCGAGCAAACTTTCCCATTAGCTTGCAAACGGTGACCTCGGGAGACAGGAGTCTGCCACTGAAGCCCCTCGCGACACGTCCTCAACGAGTGAGACGTTGGGGTTCAGAGCTCGCGCCGCCGTGGTGGTAATCCCCGAACCAAATGGTGGACACCAGAGGTGAAGGGAGCCACCAGGCTGAAGAAGGAGTCCTATCGGGCTTGGTTAGCCTGTGGGACTCCGGAGGCAGCCGACAGGTATCGACAGGCCAAGCGGAATGCGGCTCGGGCAGTGGCTGAAGCAAAAACTCGGGTGTGGGAGGAGTTCGGAGAGGCCATGGAAAAAGACTTTCGGACTGCCTCGAAGAGATTCTGGCAAACCGTCAGGCGTCTCAGGAGGGGAAAGCGGTGCTCTACCTGCACTGTGTATAGTGCTGGCGGAGCGCTGCTGACGTCGACTGAGAAAATTGTCAGGCGGTGGAAGGAATACTTCGAGGACCTCTTAATCCCACTGACACGTCTTCCGAGGAGGAAGCAGAGTCTGGGGATGAGGGGAATGACCCGCCAATTTCCGGGGGCGAGGTCACTGAGGCAGTTAAACAACTCCTTGGTGGCAGAGCCCCTGGTGTTGATGAGGTCCGCCCCGAGTTCCTGAAGGCTCTGGACGTTGTAGGGCTGTCCTGGTTGACACGCCTCTACAATGTTGCGTGGAGATCAGGGGCAGTACCCCTGGACTGGCAGACCGGGGTGGTGGTCCCCATCTTTAAGAAGGGGACCGGAGGGTGTGTTCCAACTACAGGGGGATCACACTCCTCAGCCTCCCTGGGAAAGTCTATGCCAGGGTGCTGGAAAGGAGAGTTCGTCCGCTAGTCGAACCTCGGATACAGGAGGAACAATGCGGTTTTCGTCCTGGTCGCGGAACACTGGACCAGCTCTTTATCCTCTCCAGGATACTTGAGGGTGCATGGGAGTTTGCCCAACCAGTCTACATGTGTTTTGTGGACTTGGAGAAGGCATTCGACCGTGTCCCTCGGGGGGTGTCCTGTGGGAGGTGTTGCGGGAGTATGGGGTGTCTGGCCCATTGCTACGGGCCATTCGATCCCTATACAACCGTTGCAAGAGCTTGGTTCGCATTGCCGGCAATAAGTCGGACTCGTTCCCGGTGGGTGATGGGCTCCGCCAGGGCTGCCCTTTGTCTCCGGTTCTGTTCATAATTTTTATGGACAGGATTTCTAGGCGCAGCCAAGTGGCGGAGGGCTTTCGCTTTGGTGGCCTCAGAATCTCATCTCTGCTTTTTGCAGATGATGTGGTTCTGTTGGCTTCATCGGGTGAGGGCCTCCAGCTCTTCGGCTGTGCCCGGCCGGGCCCCATGGACTAAGGCCCAGACGCTCGCCCTCGGGCACCCTCCCCGGGCCTGGCTCCAGGGCGGGGCCCCGGTAACCCTATCCCGGGCAGGGTAAACTGTTCCCTCGATGTTCTCTTCATAAGGGTCTTCTGAATCGCTCTTTGTCTGGTCCCTCACCCAGGACCAATTTGCCATGGGAGACCCTACCAGGGGGCAAAAGCCCCCAGACAACATAGCCCCTGGGATCCCTGGGACACACAAACCCCTCCACCACGATAAGGTAGCGATTCACGGAGAGGCATTTAGGTTGATTGACAACCAAACAATGTTTCATTCAGGTTATTTTTGCAGATGATGTGGTTCTGTTGGCTTCATCGGGTGAAGGCCTCCAGCTCGCACTGGAACGGTTCGCAGCCGAGTGTGAAGCAGCGGGAATGAGGATCAGCACCTCCAAATCTGAGGCCATGGTTCTCAGCCGGAAAAGGGTGGAGTGCCCACTCCGGGTCGGGGATGAGTTCCTGCCCCAAGTGGAGGAGTTCAAGTATCTCGGGGTCTTGTTCGCGAGTGATGGGAGAAGGGAGCCGGAGATCGACAGACGGATTGGGGCTGCAGCTGCAGTAATGCGGACGCTGCACCGGTCCGTCGTGGTGAAGAGGGAGCTGAGTGTAAAAGCGAAGCTCTCAATTTACCGGAAGGGAAAGAGATGTTCTATTGAAATATACTTTGAAAATGACAGGTGGATTTATTCCATTTACTGCGTTAAAATTAAAATATCCTATTTTAATTCCTTTTTGCTGTCCCCTACCCTCACACTGTGATTGGCTTCCACGTCAGGTTTAGCGCCTCGCTCGAGTGTAAGCAAGTGTTCAGCTTTTAACCAACAGGTAGTGACCGAAATGGTACAGGAGTTGCCTTGAAGGAAAGACTTTTACGAGAAATTCGCGGATTACAAGCGGCTCTCCGGGAGAATGAGTGGAGCTGGTCTCTCTTCTGCCGGGTGGAACGGGTGGTTCACTGGCCATACTGCCCTTAAGAATCCGCACATAAAGTTGGAAAGTTAAGTTACAGGCCAGTAATCCGAGACAAGTTCAGCACTTAACATCCTAGACGACTAAGAAAGAAGGCTCTCAAGAGTTTAATAGCGAGAAAGCTCCCGCCAGGTGACTAGTGGGCTCACTAATCAAAGGCTCGAAAAAATCAGCCAGCTAGATCGGTTTGGTTCAGGCATGCTGACAAGGAACCCTTTTCTACGTATCAAAAAGCTGGGTGCGCGGTTGCTGGCGTGATAAGTTAGCAGGTCGATTTTGATTCTGAAGGTCCTTTTTTTTTTTCTGGTATATAGATTTTTCGTATTTTTTCTCGGGTGACCCTTTCTTTTTTCAGGTGTCCCACACTGGGTGCTTGAGAGGAGGCGCGCGCGGAGGAGCAGCCCAGGACCTGCGGCGCTGGAGAGTTATATCTCTCGGCTGCTGGGAAAACGGATATGTGTGTCCCTTTTGACTCGCGAATTAACGCCTGAGTGGAGGAGGGATGGCTGTGGATAAGCAATGGTTGAGAGGTGTGGGCGTCTGGGTGCTGGCTTCGTAATGTTTCGTTCAGGGCCTGCGTCGGCAAAGTTCCGAACGATTATCTCTCGAATCTCTCAGCCTTGCGTTTCTCGGAATATAAGGGTACAAATATCCTGGAACAAACTTGATTTAGCCAGAGTGTGTTGAGAGATGGTGTTAGGTATATCAGTACCTAGAGGGTTTTACATTTTTGTCTTTTTTTCTTGCTCCTAGCCATGGATGGCGAAACCCCAACTTCAGCCCGCCACCATTCGGCCCAATGCAAACTAACAAATGAGGATGGGGATAGTGACCTATTAATGAGGGAAGGGTGCTTTGCTGCTATTAGCAGAAGACTTAATCGCACAAGGCTGATTATATAGAGTGACAAAGAGTTGCCAGACTAATATAACAGAGTTGCCTTATCAGTGGCACGAGTATGTAGGTGCTCTGTGTCTGTGACCGTGGGTCACATGAGGCAATGGCGAGGGGCAATGGCGCTACTCCTACTCAACACATCTATGTCAAGTACTCCTTCTGCATACATCATAACATGATAGAGGCTCAGAAAAGCCTACATATAAACTGAAACACTCTACAATCTCATATGGCCATTGAGTATCACTATGGAAGTAAAGAGGAGAGTGAAATCATTACTCAAGATTAAGACGAATTGGGCAGCGTCACACAGCTGCAGCCAACATGACCCCAAGACACCGTTAATGTGCTGACTAGTGGGTGAGCAGAATGAACCAATAAAGCATTGATAAACTTTTAGAGAGTCAGATCCATAAACACCCATTTCATCATTGTCAGCAGATGTCCGTATATAATTATAAATATCCAGTAATAAAATGCGTATATCTAGTGTGATCGCTCTTGGCAAATTGTCAGAGCCAATCTATCATGTGGAATGTCTCAGATCTCTACCTGCTCCGTAGTCTGCCTACACAAAAGGCACTCCTCTCCATGAAAAACAGGCCCAATAGAGAGAACCTTTAGTGTACACATAAAGAGATGATGAAGGGGCCCACGGTAACAGTAGTAACCGCTTAAGATGCCTGGGTGCAGGCCCATGAACTATGGGTTTTTCAGGATGTTTGCTGAGGATGATGTGAAATTTTGCACTGTGCCACTCTTCGTCCCGTGGTCTGGGGAGCAATCTGGATCCCTAACCGCTTATTCTGTAGTTCTACAAAATATTTCATTAGTGATGACCTTACATGGTGGCGTTACGCTTCGACTCTTAGGTTAAATGGTATGAGGTCATGTGGATGATGGTGGAGCATTGAGAGAGCACTTTTCCACTCCACACATTTAAAATGCTAAACAATTAGTGATAAATACATTGCTCTACTAAGTGGATATCTGACGACGAGTATTAGTCGCACATATAGGTCAGATCTTTTGATAATAGGAGTTAATTATTATTAAGTGATGATTATTTTACAATGTACTCATAAATCTTAATATATAACAAACTGAAACGTTAGATGGAGAAGAGAGGCAATTTATTTTATGCTTTGAATTCAGATGATAGGCTGCCTGATCTTAGTCCGTGTTTCTTAATTACGCGATCTCTAACCATTCTCACACCTTTGCGTCCATATTTCAGTGTCAGGTAACTCATCTTACTGTAGAGGCTACTCAGGCGCTCTCGATAGCAAAGCCTCAGAAGCAGGCACTTCCCGTACCAGGTTTAGGCTTTTGGCCAGCCCTGGCTTTGGTTGGGCGCGGCTTGGTGTCTGGTATGCCAGCTGTCGAACAGCCTCAACGCTACCAACTCGGGCATCGGAGCTCTGGACAAGGGGCAGCGGACTTCTCTTCCCAGACGCACAATTTAGTCGGTTCTCCACTGATCTAAAACAAAGGCAACAGTTGGTGACTGACAACGCCTACAAACCACTGAGTAGAAGAGACAGAACTTACTGACGCTGGGAGAAGATTGTTCTGCGTAGTGACTCCTAGAGACAATAACTGTGCTTTAAAATTGATATGGTGATATATCTCCTAGGTAAAAGATTCTTTCCATCTACATGGTTTGCTGTTGCACACTTAGGACAGCACGCCACTATGAAGTTTATTCCGTATGGATCTGGAGAACTTTGACTCTCTCCTCTGTATCTGTGAATCGTGGAGCCTCATGTCTGTTAGGGTCCGCTATCCCTTTCTTTGTGCCGGTGATCATATATATACCTGACCTACTCGACAAACATTAGGTCCTATCATCGGGCAACGTTAGCACAGCATAGAGTGGTCAAGGGAATACAGTCCTAGTCTGGCGTGCTATACCATATAGCTCAATGGTGCCTCACTACATTATATTACACCTCAATGCCAGATCTATTCCTATGTATGCCATCTCTTGTGTCTGCTATCCTCTCTGCGTGAGTACAAAGCAGAGCTCGAAGGCTCGGGTCTGTATGTGCGTTGCGGACACCAATGGAGATAGGCGGAGTGGCGTGGAGGAGTAGCTAACGGAGCTAGGAGTACAGTGACCTTCCAAATCTTCCCTTCCACTTGTTCTCAGCGCCCTTAGGGGCAGGCGTCCTCTCGACTCTGTGACTGGGAATAACTTGGCTGCACTCACGCCTAGCATGCGCACAGACGGACTACAGATATGTAGCTCCCGCGCCCAGCACAGTCAGACGTATCTCGTCTGACAGGGATAACCAGTCCAGACAAGCACATGCTCCCCTCGAAGGCAAGGACTCCATACTTGCAGCAGTTTTACGGCTCTGAGGATAAAGGTAAGTAGTTGATTCAAGGATTAGATACTCACCTAAACAAATGGTACTATTTTCAACAAAGATAGCTATAAGGACTCACTGACAGGGTATTAAAACTATGCTTTTGTTCATGAATTGATAAAGCAAAATCCATCGAAAACTAGATGACTGTACCACTATCAAGTTATTAGCTTCTTTGCTATTGTTTTCAAGGAAGGTGGTTACAACTCACATCTTTGTTCTATGGCCGATCATACGTCTGTGTTCATGACATTCAGGATGCTTTATTTTTCAGAGTTCGTATGTCTATGTGTTCGATGGCCTGCCTCGTTTTCTGGGTAACGGAGTCGTACATTCTGATCACAATCTAATTGGAGCATTTTGTGGCACCACGAGGACTCAGCCTATCACAGTGGAGGCCACCTCAGGTTTATCTTTAACTCATTGATTAATAAATACACAGTTTAGACTGCAAAACCAGTTTACATATACACAATCACTCAGCATCGTATAAGCGTCTCTTCTACCTCCAGGTGTGATCTCAGTCTACTTTGAAGCCAACGTCACTTCAGACAGACCTCAAGGCTTCAATGCATCTTTCTGGGTACGACGGTGTCAGCAGAGCTCTGATGAGGATGAAGACGGATCTGTATGTCCAGGTGGAGCCCAGTGCCAGGGTGGGCTCTGCCAGTGCCCTCAGGGATATGGGGGACCACACTGTGACCGGCTAGTGTGCCCACAGGATTGTGGAATAGCAGAAGGAAGAGGAACTTGTAATATAGTAAGAGCTGTGAACTTTTTTTTTTTTAAGTTTGCTTTTCTTAAATTTCCAAGTGTCTCTTTTGTCAAAAGTAAAACTTAATTAAATATACTGTGACATTTTTTATTTAGTGCCTTTGTAACGCTCATAAAAACATATTTCTAGTTGTGTACTTGATAATTTTGATGTTTTTGTTTTTTTTGTTAACTTTCTTTTGTTTGTTTGTTTGGTTGGTTTTTGAGGGTTTTTTTGTTTAGGAAATCAGTTTTAAAAAAAATTATCAAATAAAACACAGAACATTAACCAGCATAACTCTGTTTGTCTTAGTCTCTGGGAGTGTGCGTGTGCTCAGAGAGCTGGGTTGGGTCAGACTGCTCTATTCCTCGAGACTTCAACAGCTTGGTGTGGGAAACCTTACTGGACACACAGATGACTGTGGTAAGGACCAAAGAAAAACGAACGAGAACAATACTGAAGTGTGCATGGCTGACACAACGCAGCACACACAAATAAACATTGTGCTTTCCCCCCAACAGAACCAGGCCCACAGGTTCCTCCACAGGATGGGACACTCTCTGGTGTCTGGACCACAGGGCAACCTCTGGATGTATGGAGGGCTTTCTCTGACAGAAGGAATTCTGGGAAATGTCTATAGGTAAGAAAGTGCAACAACAGTCTATAAATGCTTAGACAAAGAGCTTGTAAGAATCAATTTTAAGTAGTATTCATGTTTCAGGTTGGGGCACATGTGACTCAGGAGCTAAAGTAGGTTGTCTATTAGAAGGTGAGAGGTTTGATACCTGGCTACTCTAGTCTTCATGTCAAAGTATCTTTGGGTAAAATACTGAAGCCCAAGTTGCACTTGATGAATCTATCAGAGTGAATGTGTATGAATGCTAAGTTATATGCACTCAAATGCATGTGTGTTTGTATAGGTGAATGGGTATGGTAGTAGAAATACATTTGGAGTGCTCAGAGTAGAAAAATGCCAATCAGGCAACAAGCCCATCCATTTGTGAAAACTACTGAAAACCTTCTGTCTTATTACTGTGAAAGTGTCATGTGTTTAACTCCTTGAAGAAGTTTGTTCATATTTGGGACAAACCTTTGTTCAACTTTGGATCCGAATAAGTTACATTTTGATTTTGGTTTTATGGAATTGGTAACACGAATGTTGAATCTTGAAATGCATTGCTTTCTTTGCAGCAGCATCTTAAACATTTTGAACTATAATCTTCAACATTTTAAACTATGACAATCACCTTTATTGGCATAATAATAATATTCTGAGACTGTAGCATAGGAACAATAAAACTTACATAACCCTGTTGCATATATCTTGGCGTAGGCATCCAGCAACAAGTTGGTTAGGTAATCTCACAGTCACATAGTGCAGTGTTGCCTCTGTATGTGTGTAATAATTCCTTCTGGTTGGTTTAGATATTCTGTGTTGGAACGTCGTTGGACACAAATGTTGACAAGCTCTGTGGAAGAAGGGTCGATGCCAAACCCTCGCTACCATCACGCCTCTGCAATGCTGAGTCATGAGTCTGGCGCTGGAGCCAATCATAACTTTATGTTGGTAGTAGGCGGGGTCACACAAGATGGCGTTTCCATGGATACCTGGACTCTCAATCTCAGCAGTTTAGTCTGGAGAGAGCACAAGGTTGGTATCTGACTTGATATGGAAATAAAGAATATGTGAAAAATCTTTTTTTTTTCTTTAACGAATTAATTTTGTTCTGCTGACAGAGCACAGTGCTTCCTCCAGTGGCAGGTCACACTTTAACTGTACGGCGAGACTGCTCTGTGCTGTTGATTGGCGGTTACTCTCCTGAAAATGGTTTCAATCACCATTTACTTGAGTTCAACCCTCAGTCTGGAAACTGGACCATTGCCCCCCACACTGGCACACCACCTACAGGTTTTTGAAGCCTTTCATAATGTCAATAACTCACTGATGCACCGCTTATTGTTATAACAATACAGAATCACATTGTGAAAATGCTTTTTAAAAAGAAACAAATATAGCTCTAAACACTCTTTTCATTGCACATAAACCTATTTTACTTGCTTTGTTCTTGAATCAGGTTTGTATGGCCACACGGCAGTCTACCATGAACAGACTGATTCCATCTATGTCTTTGGAGGCTACCGCTTTCACGTGGAAAGTGTAGAGCCATCTGCTGAGCTCTACAGCCTGTATTACCCCAACCTCACCTGGTCTTTGCTGGCCACCTCTCAGGGTATTAAGGTAAGAAGTTGGAAAATCCAAGCAGTTGACATCCATCCATCCACTTTAGAAAGATAACTTCTGGATTCCTGCTGTGTCATCTCTCTCCTGTGTAGCCCCTGTCCCGTTTCTTCCATGCTGCTGCACTGATTAAAGACACTATGGTGATTGTGGGCGGCAGGACAGAAGCAGAAGACTACAGTAACTCTGTCTCTCTGTACCAGATCAACTGTAACACCTGGATACAACCAGGTAACTATACATTTCTAGCTGCAGGTTAATTTGTAAATCATAAAACATCATAGGCTAATCTCTTCTCGTGTTTTTGTTTTAGTGTCAGCTGTTGGAGATCCGGTTAATGGTTCGGTGTCCCTTGCTATGACGAGCTGGGGCGGTCGTCTCTTCCTGTCAGGAGGCTTCAATGGCGTCACCCTTGGCAGACTCCTAACCCTGTCTGTGCCCTCTGACCCCTGCGCCCTTCTTCCCACACCAGAGGCTTGCAACACCACCACAGGCAGCTGCATATGGTGTAGAGGGAGCTGTGCTTCTTCTGACACTGCTGAGAGGTAACACGTTGTTTGACAGCAACTCTGAGCTTGAAGTTATGTGCAGCTATGAAATAAAATGCATATGACATTCACTTCTGTTCCTTGTTCTCCATCAGAATGGGATGCTTCACTGGACAGTCTCCCTGTTCTCCAACCCCTCGTGAGCCAGACCAGTGTCGCAGACTCAAGACATGCAGTGAATGCCTTGCACGACACCCTAAAACATTTTCCAGTCAATCCCAGGTAACATGTAATGCCCCTTCTCAAACACAGTTAATCACTCAAAGAGAGACCGTTACTGTGAACTAAAGTCTGTTCTTAATAAATTCCCAGCCTGTTTTACAGTGTAAGTGGTGCACAAATTGTCCAGAGGGGGCTTGTATCAGCAGCTCTCTCAGCTGCACAGCTGTACATGACTGTCGAATCAACCAGAGAGAGATCTTCCTGTCCAGCAACTGCACTGAGACTAGCTGTGAGGCTTCTGACTGCCCCAAGTGTACAGCTTCTGGAAAATGCATGTGGACTCGCCAGTTCAAACGCACAGGTACCCAGGTTCAGATGATGTGTTGGTGTTACAGAAAATGAATTTTATGATTAATAAATATTTTCCAATAAGAAATGTTGACCCCCTTCTCTTTTTCTCTTTTCCCCTCTCCTCCAGGCGAAACGAGGCGCATCTTGAGTGTGAATCCCACTTATGACTGGACATGTTTCAGCTACGCTCTGCTCAACGTCTCACCCATGCAGGTGGAGTCATCCCCTCCTCTGCCGTGCCCTCCGCCATGCCACAGTCTCCATAACTGCAGCCTTTGTCTGAGCTCCAATGGCTCTGATGGGGGCTGGCAGCACTGTGTGTGGAGCATGGCCCTGCAGCGGGTAAGATTGTCGTCATCATCATAAGATCACGTCACAATATCACAGCTATAGCAATGCAATTAAAGAATAACTTAAAAAAGAGCTACTTCAACAACCTCTAACAAAGCTCAATATGCAAGAAAATAGTTCCAACTGAAGGTGGAAACGACCAGTTGAAGCAAAAAAAACCACTAACAAGTGCAAACAGGATGTGAAGGAGGCAATATTAGCGATCGGTGTTGTGCTGTCAATGTGTGAAAGAACCGCTCTACCCAGTGTCGCCGTAGCACTCACTAATTTCACTGCAGGTTGTACATGACAGAAAGACCAAACAGTGGATGTAGTTGTCTTTTATTTGGCTAAAGATATGATGCAATACAGATTGTGGTGAAAGGGGCTTTGACCAGCTGGTTAAGACTTTACTCAAGAAATGATATCCCAGGTAGAAAACATTTTTCAGTTTCTCATGTAACAAAGTAGTGGTTTACATGTTCTCCTAACAAGTAGCAGATCTCTATCCCAGTTCTGGGTGGATAGTTTTATGGTTGCATCAGGAAGAGTGTCTAATGTAAAAAATCTACCAGATCAAACATGATGAGCCACTGTGGCGACTCCTTGTAAGTGAGGGAGCAGTTGAAATTAGCTCTGATAATGCATTATTTAACAGTAGCTAAGCTAAATTTTTGTGCTTAGGTTTGACTTTACTCTCACTGGATGTGGTGCTGTGTCACTACTATTGCACTGTGTTGCTGCTACCGCTGGCACCTTGTTTTATTAGATTGCTAAGGTTAGCATCAGTGATAGTAGCTCATTGGAAGGAAGGATAGAAAATGCAGTTCATCTACTTACACTTATAAATGTTGCTGTGCGGAACCATCATTAAAATGTTCCTATATTTTTTTATGTTGTAGTGTTATCATTAAAACATATGTTTTCTGAAAATATTGTGACATAACTTTGAGGCCGTATCACCCACCCCTGATTGGAATGTTGGACTTTAACTTAATTTATTTTCTTTTTAATTTAACTGAGCAAATCTCTTTCCCCTTCCTGTAGTGCATGAGCCCATCTTTTGTGCCCCTCCGGTGTGAGGCAGGCCAGTGCGGTCGACTGCTTTCTAGGGGAGACTCCTGCTCTCCCCAGTGCTCCCAGCTCACTCAGTGCTCCCAGTGCATTGCTAGGCCTCAGTGTGGTTGGTGTTCT